ATGACTTGGTTTCAAATTCTACCTTTGACACTTTGACACTGTGATGTACAAAGAATCATTTAAATTCCCTTCCCTTCAGTTTTCTCTATGTGAGGGATTAGACTAGGTGCCCCCAGAGGTCTTTTTCAGATCTAGAACTGGACCAGCCATTTAATGCTATTACCTCATGGCTTGTAGCAAGCATGTCAGCATCAGTTGACAACAGAAATTTTAAAGAAACAGAAATAAGCTTTGGAATAGATTGCTCTAGGCAAAGGGGGACAGGAGAGAGACAGTACAGGAAGTAATTATTCTCAGAAAACAAGGATGACTACAACATGATCACCAGGGAAGATTTTTTTTTTTGCGTGATTACTTTTACATGATAATTTTATATGATTTACAGAATAATGTTATTCTGTATTTGGGGGGAATAGCATGTTGTACATGGTAGATTTGCAATTTTATGTGCAATCATCTTTTTTATTGTGCTGTTATGGAAATGCTGGTGATGTTCTGTGAATTGATGTGAAATATATTTTTAAAAAACAATCAATTCAGCTCAAATCCCAGTGTGGAGGCTCTACAGGGTCAGTCATCAGGATAAAAAAAAATCACGCAAGACTGAAGTTGCTCTCCTAGAGCTAGAGGACTTGTGTTGGTTTTCACATCAAGGGAGAAAGGAGTTTGCTTGTCCTCTTCCCTTCATTCTTGCTGTTTGTCCTTCATTCTCAAGGAGGACCATGTCATCAGGAAGGTGATGTCATGACTTGCAAGTGAATTGGATTAAAGTGGTGGAAGGCTCTGCAAAATCACCAGACTCACTTTCTTCTCCAGAGCCATCAGGGTCCAGGGGCAAGAAATAAATCAGGATGAGTAAAATATCCCCCCACATCCCTTCAATAGAAGGGAAAACAGCTGCCAAGTCCTTGGGCTTAGTCTTCTCCCTGATCTGCAAAGAGAAGGATCCTCCACAACTGTTTCTAAAACCCAGGAGAGCATTTTATGACACTAAGAACATGCAACATTGATGATGCAAAAGACAGTGTCTGTCCTTCCCCCATCACTCCAATTATTCTCAATACCAAGAAAATGCATGTTAGGCTTTTTTCGTGTTACTGATATTTTTTGAGGCAGTCCACTCCAATTTTTGGTTACGGAAGCACCCTAAGTCTCTCTTATCCTTGATTTTGAATTGAATCTGCTCATGGGTACTTTTTCCCTCTATGTCTCTGCCCCTGTCCCTTGGCTCTTGTGTTTCCTTCTGCTTGTTTTTTTTGCTTATTTTTAAAATTGGAATCCACGTGTTTTTTACCTTTACTGCCAACCATGTTCTCTCATCTCTCTCTTCCACCTACAGTAAATGAAGAATGAAATGGACAAGAGATGCGAAGAAAGCTTCCATTATATCTCTAGGAATATACTGTTTCTAATGTAGGCCCACAATGTATGGTGGGACAGTGACATAGGCACCCCAAGAAACCAACTCCCCATTTCTTCTTCTACAGCATTTAGAAAGAGAGTTTCTACTATATTCTCTCTGCAGTTTATAATAACCTCCCCCTCAAATTACTTTGAGCACATTATGCCCTTGTGGGGCATGAGTTTGTCTTCTATGCTGTCAGAGCATTTTGAACTGAACTTCCAAATAAAGACACTACTCCTTACTAAGAGGTCGCAAGTCTGCCATCACTATGTCCTCAGAAAATAGAGTATCTTTTCCCTGCTCTTATTTACTTTCTCTTTCTTTTGTACTGAGTAGGGAAAGGGGTGGGTCAGTGCTCTTATTCCATGGGGAGAAGGGGTGAAGATGGGAAAATAAGGGTAAGGGTTTGCAAGGTCCATTAGGACCTTTCCATAAAAACAAAATATTTTCACATCAGCCATTGGGATTGTGAAATCTTGTATAATGCATAAAATATGAACTATATCAATTTTGTATGTCTTTTTTTCCTTAACTGGCACAGGACTTATATTTTCATTTTACAGTCTCTGCTTCATAATCTTTAGAAAAGAAAATAAAAATTCCATACATTATGGAGAACATAGTTAAATTTTACAAGTAGGTCCTTTCCCCCCCTTTTTTTTTTTATTGTCGTTGGGATATAGACCTAGCAGTGGTATTGTTGGATCAAAGGGTGTCCTTATGTTGTGGCCAAGAAACGGAAATTGAGGTGATATGTATGAACTGGGGAATGGCTAAATAAGCTCTGATATATGATTCTGATGGAATATTATTGTCCTATCAGAAGTAACAAGCAAGATGATTTCAGCAAAACCTGAAACACTCACTTGAACTGATACAAAATTAAGTGACCAGAACCAGAAGAAAGTTGGACACAGTAACAGCTCTATTGTTTGATGATCAGCTGTGATGGACTTCGCTTTCTCAGCAACACAATGATCCAAGATATTTCCAAAGGACTCAAGATGAATCATGGTATCCAACTTCAGAGTAAGAACTATAGAGTCTGAATGCAGATCAAAACACACTATTTTAACTATTTTGGCATTTTTTTCTTTGTCCTAGTTTTTCCCTTTTGTTCTGATTCTTCTTTCATAATATAACTAATGTGAAAATATATTTAACATGCTTGCATATGTTACAAAGGAGGGAGGGACAAAAATTCAGAATTCAAAATCTTAGGAAAATGAATGTTGCACACAACCTTTACATGGAATTGGAAAACATAAAATTCTATTAAGTGCAAAAATAATAATGTTAAATTTTAAAGCTCATCGATATTTGTCAGTACCAGAATACCTACATCCATGAACAGACATTTTGAATACTGAATGGATGATCAGAAATGGAGTTTGGTAAACAAGACACCAAGCACAGTTTTTTTCATTAAGTTCAGATGAGCTGAATCCTCACTTTCCAAGGTGTCAGCAATGATGACTGCATCGAAAATCTTTTCTAAACATTTCTGTTCTGGTGCCAATGGGGTCAACATTGCTGAGGAGGCAGTGACTAATTGCTATTGAGTACAAAAAGCTCAGGTGTCAGGGTAAGAAGGCACCTGAGAGGAGCAACTGGAATTTCCTTACTTTAAAAAATAAATGTATTTCCTTTTTAATAAGTCATTCAAGCAGGGTTTACCCATTTCCTTTAATAGTTTTGGGATTCTATTGGTTAGCCAGTCCCTACAACTTCCTCATGTAGAGTCACTACCTTTCATACTTCAAGCCTAAAATTCCTCTCAGATTGATTACTGAAATTACTTACATCAGCTAAAGCTATACACACTTGTTTTTTACTACTTGATTGCAAGTTGTGAGTGGGACACTATTTAGGCTCTATGTAAAGGCATTTTTAAGCCATGCATAATGCATGTGATATTGCTGTATGCATATAATACTGAGAAGATTAAAATGGATTCTGTATCATTTTCTTATTGATCTTATTTGCAATTAATTGATTATGCCCTATGACTGAGTACTTACTTATGATTCTACGTCTCTGAACTTAGTTCAGAATTCAGCTGACCTGTGAGGGGGTAAGGTTTGAAATCCAGTTCACTTGCTAATCAGTGTGTATTCTTGTCTCAAGAAATTCTGTTAACCATGAGGGAATATGGTTTCCATAAGGGAATTGGGCCTACTATCTTTACACTACCACACTATCCTTCAGGGATATCTGGTTTGCAATCACAAGAAGTCTAGATCACTATCTTCTAACATGAAAGTAGACTCAAAATAACCACTTCTTACTCATAAAAGGGAAAGAAGGAGGGTTGGTGTTAGGCCCCACTCCAAATTTCTAAACAATCATGTTCCCCACTCTTTGCCTATGTAAAAAATCATGTTGACCTCAAGCCCCTGATGTCACCTATCCTGTTCTGCTCTTGGTTCTGTGCTTGCCAAAATCTATACAAGGAGAGCTGTTTTTTGCTTGGGATCTTTGGCTGTAAACTGAGGCAGTTGTTGACCCATCTTGTTCTCAGGTTCCCAGCCTTTATACTAGAATGTATTCTTGCTTAGAGAAAGGTGACTTAATTTACCTTCCTGTTAAATTTAACTCATAATAATACTCAAGAATTTCTTTTACCACATGCGGACATGTCAGAGAATTTACTCATTTTATATATATAACATTTAAATGAGAAATAGAACAAAGCTCAGCAATTTGGCCGAGCCAAATTCGAAAAGGAAGAGAAGGTCAAATCAGCAGCAAGTATTTGTTTATTGAACATAGTAAACTATGTGACAAGCACAGCACTAAGTACTGGGGATACAAAGAAAGGCAAAAAATTGTACCTGTTTTTAAGGATGTCACTCTTATTCAGAGAGACAACATTGAAATAATAACACTACATTTCTATACCTGTGTGTGTGTATGTATATGTATATATGCACCAAAAGGTAGAATTAGAGAGGAAGGGGAAAGTAGAAGGTGGGGAGTATGTTAGGTAAGATTTATGGAGGTCAAGGGGCCAGGAAGCAAGGATGAGAAGGAGAAGAATTCCAGCCAGTGAAAATACACAGAGTAGACAGATGGAATCTGTTGTGAAAGGAGCAGCAAGGAGATCAGTGCCATTGAACTGATGAGTATGTGGAAAGGACTAAGATAGAATAAGACAGGAAGGAGCCATGACACAAAAGTATTTAAAAGCCAAATCAGAACTTATATTTTCTTCTGGATTCCCCAGAACTTGGGGAAAATGGTCAGATCTATGTTTTAGGAAGGTGACATTAATAGCTGAGTTTAGTGTGGACTGGAGTGAAGAGAGTTGGTAAAGGCTTGCCTCAGGGCGGTTGCAGTACCTTGAGGAGAGAAGGGAGATTATACTAGATTTGTGATAAAAGTAGAATGGACAATACATAACTACCAATTGATTATGGGGTAGAGGTGGAACTGACAGTGAGGCATTAAGAATGACAGCCAGCTACTGGAAAAGTTGCTTTCTCCTGCGATAGAAGAAAAAACACCACAAGCCATAGACAGAAATTCACTGTACCTGTTCCTTGATATAGGCATCTTTTACTTTGTGCATCATGAGCTCAGTCCAATTCTTGTCTCACTCACACTTCACCTCCTGGCAGGGGAAGTTTTTATCTGGTCTCACATTCCTTTTCCTCACTTTGCCTCTTGCACAGTAGTACACAGCTGTGTCCTCAGTCTTAAGGGAAGTCATTTGTAGATATAACATGCTGTTGCCATTATCTCTGGAGATGGTGAATCGGTCTTTCACAGAGTCTGCATAGTATGTACTTCCACTAGTGCTAATTCCTGCAACCCATTCCAGTCCCTTTCCTGAAGCCTGGCAGACCCAGTTAATCCTGTAGCTGCTGAAAGTAAATCCAGAACCTTTGCAGGAGAGACTCACAGATCCCCCAGGCTGTATCACTTCTCCCCCAGACTCCACCAGCTCCACATCACACTGGACACCTACAACACAGAGACATTGCATTAAAGTCA